CTAGTTTTAAAACCGTTTGGATAATTGTTTAAGGTAAATTTTTTGATTACCAAATCGGGGCCTTCGGTAATACGGACAGTTATGGGGAACCTGTCGGAGCGACTCAGCTTATATTGAACATGGTCATTCTCTTGTGGCATTTGATTAGCGTTTACTAATGTTTTGCTGTTATGACCAGAATTGATATGACATACAATATCCCTATACATAACTCCAGTGATGGGTATGTTATGACCATTGGTTTCATAGTATTTGCTGTAATACACGGCACCCTTCAGTATAACTGACCGATCGTGAAATTGTATTCTAGTAGAATATTTGTTCATGATGCTTTTAAAGTCAATTTTTGTTGTAAGGCACTCATCTCCTAATAAATAAGATATTTAAGATTTAGCAAGAAGGTAAATTTTAATCGTATAACATTCTTGTTAATTCATATATCATGCTTTATTTGAATTAACTATTGATACTGACCTACAACATATGCACTGTAAATTGACATGTTAATTTTCAGTTGTTTAGTTAAGATATCTTTAAATAATTGTTGTAAAGAATCAGTTATTTTTATGCTAACGTCACTTAAATCGTCGCCACTTTTAGGCCAATTGATGTCCACTCGTTTGTATGCATTATATTTAACACTCATGTCTTTATATTCAACGAGTGCTAACTCATAGCTATTAGTTGTAATTAAAATGATGAGTACACGCGAAATATCAATTGTTTCTTGATTAGACATATGATCAATCCCAATTTCAATGGCCACCGAGGTCATTTCGGTAATACATTGAACATGTTCCATGCCAGCTATTCTGGCCGCGTCTCTAAACGCATTAAATTGTCTTATGGTATAATTTGTGGGCACAATAAATAGTAGGTTTTTTATGTAAGTATCGCACAAATGTTCGGTTCTTTTCTTTATGTCCAACACTTGTAACGCAAACAACGACTCGATATATAATTCAATATTTATCTCATTGTTTGATATGAGCCGTACTTTTGGGTGCCGTTTGTCTACAAAATCAAAGGGATAGCGATTGAGCTCATCGCCCGTCACATCCCTTCCCATAATGTGTTTGATGTCAAACGTGTGTCCATTCAGGTGTTGCTCGGCTTCCCTCCCGTAGAGTATAGTCTGGCCGTCAAATACAATACAATTGGACATCAGATGTCCGTTTGGGTCGTTAAAACAATGAATTGTATAATTATATTCTTGTTTACTACAATAATAAACACCAATGGGTTTGTTCTCAAAGTCCATAATAAGTGTATGGAATTTGTTTTCCTTTTGTGCATTTATTTCCCAAAATTTTGTTCCATTAATTTCCAGCGAAATATTGTCCCAATTTTTATCACATAATTCTCTTACAAAATATTCATCAAACTCTATGAGAGTCGCCATCATTAACTGTTCATGTTCTAACCATAATTGATCCATTATTTGTTTATGCTCATGCTCAAATTGACCCTCGTTCATAGAAGTGCACTTATCGTATTTGGTTGAAAGTTGATCGTTGTATTTATGCTGACATTTCTGTACAATGCTATTCATTTCGTTTTTAATGAACTGATAATTTTGTTGATTTTTAGCTAAATGATCATGGTAGGTTGAGGTGGTATAATCAATCCAACTCTTTTTGCACACGTCTAAAACATTAGGTTTGGAAAGTTGTTTAATTGCGAGTTCGTTACCAAAACGCGTCCAAATATTATCGCAAATAGTGTTATATTTTTCGCGGAAAGTTTCGTCAGTAAATGTACCGCTTTTTAATAAACATTTCATTTTTTTGTCGTACATTTCTGTACAAATTTCCACACATTTTCTCATATTTTCGTTGTTTTCCGAATTAATTTGTGATATTTTTTGCTTATATTTATTTATCGCACTTTCGGTCAATTGATTGTATTTCTTGTATAAATAATAATCATTTTTAAACAACTCTTTAATTTTTTCATCCGTCAGTAAAAAGTGCTTCAATTGTGTCTCGTCTATGAAATACTCGTCCGAATCGCAGAGTTGTTGACATTTGTTCACAAACTCGTTATATTTAGAGTCAAAGTTTGTATAAACCACTTTCTGGTCGGCAATAAATGTGTTGAGTCTTAATAAATACCGTGATTTCAAATTATTAAGTTCCCGCGATCTTCGCTCAAATTCAAACTTGACTTTATTTGAGACCTCTCTAAAAATTGGCCCAAAATTAACATACTTTATATTAAACTCAAAATTTTCATTGAATTTATATTGTAGTGATTTTGTGAAACTTTCTATCAATTCTGCCACCAATTGATCGCCAATTATTGCCTTATTTTTGCATTCATTTTTAAATACAATTCTCTCGTCATTCAATGCACTGTCCAGTGATTGCCGAAACTCTTCGGATACTTCTGCGGGATATTTCTTACTTAACTCTATATTAAACTCATGCATACATTTATCATGAGCTGAATTGTGAGCCGTTTGCAAAACATTTAGTGTTTTAGACATTTCACTGTTTATTTGTTGCCAAACATCCACTTTATAATTGTTTATTAATTTATTCATCAATATTGTCAGCTCAGTCGTGTCAACAGCACCGGGAGTTACAGGAATGGTATCAACTGGACTGTAGGCCACGCTATCACCCAGTGTTGGGTTGGCTGCCAATGGGTCGGGCAATAAATTCTCGCTTGTTTCCAGTGTTTCAATAGGTTCAGTCTGATTACCATCATTAACTGTTGCATTATCATCGCTGGATTGATCTTGATCTAATAGATCTGACACTAATTTACTATCATTACTAGTGTCTGAAAATGTTTTATCGTGATAGTTAGTTTGCTCATCAAACTCCTTGATATTATTACTGGAGCTCTCTTGGTGATTTTCGCTTTTATTATCAAGTATCTCATTAATGAATTGCTCTTGGTCAGTACATTTATTACCACCTTGCTCTAAATCGACGCTGATATGATCAGGTCTTAAGAATATACTGGACTTTGTGTTCACAGAATTATCATCTCGGTTATTAAGCGTAACTATTTTATTCTCGATCAATTTCATGAGTTCGTCTGTATTTGTAAATGTAATGCCATTTACATAATTATTATCATCTAGGACATCTAACGGTATAAATGCAGTCATTTGCTTGATATAATCGCCGGGAAGTTCGCCTATTTTCCAGTCAATATTTGCGGTGTTATGTGTGGGACAGGCGACTAAATAAGTGCCCATTTTGTTGAAATCTGTGCCGAGTGCTTGGTAATTTTTGTATCCGGTTACAATTAGCGAAACATTGGCATTGTTTGTTTCAAAATCGTTGCATTGCCACTGGTTTAATTTGTTTAAGAGTCCTATGTACGAAATGATCGGGATCATATATTTATCATTTGATTTATCGGGATATGTCTGTTAACGTAGTATTTGATAAAAATAGATAAATATAATTAATGTGAATAATTGACATTACAAATGCTTACGTCGAGACCCGGTTTGTTAATCACCACAATTGATGATATGCTTGATATAAGTCTTATCGTATCAATTAGTATAGTATTTTCAATTAAATCCGAAAATGTATAAAGGTAGTTTTGTAGATTAATCAATAGTACGGCCACACGCGTATGACCATGGTGGATATAATAGGGTTCGGACCACATTTCAATTCCAGGATAAATCTCATCAATGTTTAAAAAACCATGCATATTGTCAAGCGTAATTTCAGTCGGCCACTGACCATGATTAGTTTGTTGCCCTTTCAGGTAATTTAGTATGAGATTTGTAGTGAAAGTGTTTCCCTCGAAATGCGGTCCAATCACTGATACGATCGCTATTTTATCCCATTCTTTGTAATCGAGTTTATGAAATATATTTTCCACAAAATTCTTATTCAAATGAAATGTGTTTTCAATCACTTCAACCACTCGTATGTTTGCCATTAAATTTTAATAATGAATTTTAAATTAGAATTTATGTCCTAATTGTAAAAAACACAAACAAAACTTTTAATATAAATAATTAATAAAGTTATTTCATAGTTACAATTACAAATTAAGTTTAAATAGTTATATATTCTGCTATTAAAATATAAATTAAAATAATAGTGTATAGCAATTCAAATAACATTTTAAATATTTTACTTACATTTAAAGTTAAAAATTAAAGTATAATAATTGAATTATTTTAAGTTTACAAAATATTTATCGTACTTTCAATGTCTATAACTGTGAGAAAGTGAGTGTCAATAACAATATACTTATTGTGTACAAAACAGTCCTTGATCTCGTACACATAGTTACATAGATTATCTAACGCTCTATATATATTTCAAGATATTGCATTATAAAGAAAACATGTAGTTATCAGTGATAACTTGTAACCATTATTAATTATTTTCACCATAAAAAATCTTTAGTATATCTATAATATTCAACTACAGTAATTACAAATTAACTCATCTAGTTTACTTATAAATACTGATACTTATTTTTAATTATTTTAAAAATTAATTTCAAAATTATATCGTAGCTTTAGTTTAAAAATAATTAAAAATATTACATATTTACTTACACATGAAAATTACACACAAATGATTATTCATTTTAAATAATTAATCAAATCAAATAGTTTTATTAATTTTGAAAAATGTATGCAATGCAAATTGCATTATGCAATCATAACATATTTTGAATCACAATAAAATTAAATGTTTGTTAACGGATATAGTAATATTATTGGATAATAGTGAAACTAAAATCAATAGATATAACATAGACATAGTTACCATACTGATATTATCAATTATGTAATTACAAATAAGTTAACGATATTAATTTTTACAACTTTTTATAACCATTGTATTATAAATATAGTTACAAAGTATTTAATAAAAATAATATCATTATAAATCTAACTAGATGTAGCCGGTTGTACACATTTTATATTAAAATTGTTTATTATGAATGTTAGTCTCAATTAACACTTTCATAATTCATAATTGCTAAAAAGTGCATAAATAGCAATATCACCGAGCTTGTTTTCTTAACGTAACTTGCTCATTAATCTCATCCAACCGGCGCTGATAGCCATCGATCTCTTCAGCGGACGTCTCGCGGATAGAGGAGAAGAAGTGCTCAAAAGCGGACAACTTATTGACCAGATCTGCCTTTTCGGACGCCTGTAGGCCGTCGACCGCCCGTTTAGTCCGTATATAATTTGTTGACAGCCGGGTCTTAAGGGCCTTCATTTGATCGCTCAATAGGGGTATATTTCTGAGCGCTGGCACTGGTAGCGGTTTTGTGTCTCGTACTGTATTGGTTGACACCAAACATACGGGTGTATTGCGTTGATAACCAAATTGATTGGTAAGTAATAGTTGATTAAAGTGATCGTCAAGAGGCAGTTGGGTTGGCATACAGTCGGTCTTTACTTGAAAACTGCTGGCCACTCGTTGGCGTCGGAATGGGCCGGTAGGTGTCCCTGGTTAAAATAAGTAATTTTTAACAAGTTAATTTAAAGTTAAAGAAGTTTGCGCAAAATTAATGGTGAAAATGCCAAAAATTTTGCATTAAAAATTTTGATCAATTTTTATTTCAGTAATTTAAGTATGTTTGTAATCGCAATTAAAATTGATGTAAGTGAAGTAAAATAATTACGTTAGTCGTAATAAAAAACGTATTTATTTATCACGAAATTTCTTATTTTTCAAATAACTTTTTCCTATTATGTCCAAATTTGAAAATTCCTTCGGAATAATATTCCTCTCATCAATACCTTTCTATCGATATATAATATGATATACTTATTCATAAATTAAAAGATCTGATTTTAAAAAATTTGCCGATAAAAGTGGTCACTGCGGCCAGACCCGAGGGAATCTGGACATATGAAGTATATCACTCGACTATCCATTGAGTGTACTTTTATTTTATAACAATAATTCCCGAGTGCCCGCTAACACACAGATGCGCATCCTCCTTTGTTTACATTTACCATGATAAATAGTATTGTTGCTATCATTAACGGCAAGTGCGCTGACATTATACCTGCCGGCGACGCTATAGTCAGTGAAGTAGGCGTAATAATAGCCCTCTTTGTGATAGATGTTTAACGGGAGGTCAGTCTGAGTACCGCCCGGTCTGTCCACTGTTGCCGTGACTATAGCGCCCACAATTGGGTCATTGCCTTTACATAGCCGACAGACCACTATCGGTGGGCAGTTTATTTCGGGTGGGCGTTGAAACACTTGTAAGTCAATAGCTTTAGCACCGGTGGGGTTACTCTCAAGCACCAGATGTGCCCTAACAGGACTTGATATCTGTTTGGTTAATTTAATAGTCCAGAGACCAGATTCAGTCGACTTAAAATATATTCTGCACTCTTTTACATCCAATCTTTTGTCTATTTGTCCGCCACCTGTAGTACTATATACGACACCCGACGGGCCGGTGATGTCTACGTCGATGTCTTTGATGGCTTCGGAGCGGATCTGTATTTGAGTGTTGCGTCCGATATCGGCCTCAATGGGCACTCGAGTCTCATATGTGTTGCCATTTATGACCACAACTTCATTGACAACAGTATGAGTGACCACTTCTGCCATCTCTTTAGAGGTGATAACCTCTTTCATCGCGGCCTCCATTACTTGACCCAACATTTCAGTACTCTTGCCGTCCGCACGATTGGAGCTAAACACCTGACTCCTGGGTCTCGACGACAACATCTCACCGGTTACTGCTGTCAGCCTCTCTAGATTTGGGTCGGCGTTCACACCGATTGCCAAACAATACAGGTTTACCTTAAATGTGAAATTACATTCATAAATTATACTTATTATTATTATTTGCTTATTAAATAATAATATTTATATTGTACAAATTATAGTATAAACTAACCTGTGCGTTTCTTAAATGCGGTAACACATCGCTAACATAATCCTTATTACCCACAGTTTGGTCGCCATCGGTGGCCAGAAATATCTTCGCCCCTTTGGTCTGCACTCTGGCGCGTTTGAGCACAGCTAACGCTTCCATAATACCGGCCTTGATGTCAGTCCCCTTAGCTTTGTAATTGGTTGGGACGGCAGCCACAAGGCTTTGCCTCACAGATTGACTTGTGATCATGGTTAATTCATGTGCAGTCCACGCTGTTTTATTGAACAGCACGATACCTACATAATTACCATCATGTATGCGATCAATACTGCGGGCTGTCTCCGTGTGAAGTGCCTTAATCCGGACGCCGCGCATACTTCTCGACACATCCAATACAAACACTATCCGCTCTGACATTATTTATGGTAATTATTTGTTTATATTTATTTTATTAAATAAATTCTATCCTGTTGCTTGTGAATATCATTCAAGTTCAGTTATATCACCTTTAAAATAAAAGCTATTTGTATTTTATTTATTTTATAATAAAAATAATTCAGTTATACAGTAATGGCAGTGATAAATATTATTGAAATTATATAATCATTTTGTTTCCTAATCACCATGGTTAATTAAAACATAAAGGATTTTATTATCGTAAAACTAATGTTATAATTATTGGCATTCAAGCATTATACTGTATTATATGCATTTCAATGTGAAATAAGATAATTATGATTATTTTATAAGTGAAAGTCCATAACACGATATCATCAGAAATTATTACTTTATCTTACAGACAATGTCAATAAAACTGTTATCATCATAAATATTATGTCACAACAAAGCAATATATTATTCTATAAATAAATATGATGGTTAGTTTTCGAGATGATTGTCTTTGTGTAATTATTTTGTCTTTTTAATTAATAATATTTAATTATAAAAATTTAAGGAGATGCAATTTTTTAAGATGTACTATATCATATCTTTACAAATTAATTAAAAGTATGAATTAATATGTAATAAAAAAGTTTATAGATCACTTTACAAATACATGTATTAATACTAACTTATAATAAAAATGTATAAAATAAACCGTTTAACTTAACTTGTTCTGTTTATTTTGCTTGTTTGTTTGAGAAATAATTAAATGATTATAATGCTAAGAATTGGTTATAAAAAACAAACCACAGTATTAGGTCATTAATTTATCCCTTAACCTAAACGTGTCGATCATTTTAAACAACTCTAACTGTTGTTCGTCTACTCGTTGTCCATCTCTGGCCACAATTTGGTCGCATTCCCCGAGTTTTACATAAAGTATACGCTTTTTGGTTGCAATTGTCTGACAGTCTGTGAGTCGGCGCCCGATATCGGCCACCAATTGGCGAAACTCACGGACAGACTCTTCGTGTATGTCTATCGGTGTCTCAGAGCTGTTATCGCTGTCAACATTTGACTGGTGAGGCACTTGTTGTTTGGGTGCCATATCTTCACCACTATGTGTAGCGTTAATCACGTCCCCTAAATCGTCTGTTTTNATGCGCGGCGTCCGGATTAAGGCACTTCACACGGAGACAGCCCGCAGTATTGATCGCATACATGATGGTAATTATGTAGGTATCGTGCTGTTCAATAAAACAGCGTGGACTGCACATGAATTAACCATGATCACAAGTCAATCTGTGAGGCAAAGCCTTGTGGCTGCCGTCCCAACCAATTACAAAGCTAAGGGGACTGACATCGGGGCCGGTATTATGGAAGCGTTAGCTGTGCTCAAACGCGCCAGAGTGCGGACCAAAGGGGCGAAGATATTTTTGGCCACCGATGGCGACCAAACTGTGGGTAATAAGGATTATGTTAGCGATGTATTACCACATTTAAGAAACGCACAGGTTAGTTTATACTATAATTTGTTCAATATAATTAAATAATGTAATTTTACATTTAAGGTAAACCTGTATTGTTTGGCAATCGGTGTGAACGCCGACCCAAACCTAGAGAGGCTGACAGCAGTAACCGGTGAGATGTTGTCGTCGAGACCCAGGAGTCAGGTGTTTAGCTCCAGTCGTGCGGACGGCATGAGTACTGAAATGATGGGTCAAGTAATGGAAGCGGCGATGAAAGAGGTTATCACCAGCAAAGAGATGGCAGAAGTGGTCACTCATACTGTTGTCAATGAAGTTGTGGTCATAAATGGCAACACATATGAGACTCGAGTGCCCATTGAGGCCGACATCGGACGCAACACTCAAATACAGATCCGCTCCGAAGCCATCAAAGACATTGACGTAGACATCACCGGCCCGTCGGGTGTCGTCTATAGCACTACAGGTGGCGGACAAATAGATAAAAGACTGGATGTGAAAGAATGCAGAATATACTTTAAGTCAACTGAATCGGGTCTTTGGACTATTAAACTAACAAAACAAATATCAAGTCCTGTTAGAGCACATCTGGTTCTTGAGAGTAACCCCACCGGTGCTAAAGCTATTGAGTTACAGGTGTTTCAACGCCTTCCCGAAATAAACTGTCCGCCAATAGTGGTCTGTCGGCTGTGTAAAGGCGATGACCCGATTGTGGGCGCTATAGTCACGGCAACAGTGGACAGACCGGGCGGTACTCACACTGACCTCCCGTTAAACATCTATCACAAAGAGGGCTATTATTACACTTACTTCACTGACTATAGCGTCGCCGGCAGGTATAATGTCAGTGCACTGGCCGTTAATGATAGTAACAATACTATTTACCATGGTAAATGTAAACAAATTTAACTTTAAATAAACTTGTTAAAAATTAATTATTTTAAACAGGGACACCTACCGGCCCATTCCGACGCCAACGAGTGGCCAGCAGTTTTCAAGTAAAGACCGACTGTATGCCAACCCAACTGCCTCTTGACCATCACTTTAATCAACTATTACTTACCAATCAATTTGGTTATCAACGCAATACACCTGTATGTTTGGTGTCAACCAATACAGTACTAGAGGCAAACCCAACACCAGCACCAGTGCTCAGAAGTATACCTCTATTAAGCGATCAAATGAAAGCCCTTAAGGCCCGGCTGTCAACCAATTACATAAAGACTAAGCGGGCGGTCGACGGCTTACAGGTGCCCGAAAAGGCAGATCTGGCCAATAAATTGGCCGATTTTGAGCGTTTCTTTTCCTCTATCCGCGAGACGTCCGCCGAAGAGATCAATGGCTATCAGCGCCGGTTGGATGAGATTAATGAACAAGTTAGGTTGAGCAAACAAGCTCGGTAATATTGTCATTTAGGGCACTTAAAGCACTTAAATTTATTGTGATTTATAATATAAATTCATATAACTATTTCAATAAACTATTTTATTTGATTAATTATTTAAAATCAATAATTATTTGCCAATTTTCATGTGTAAGTAAATATTTTATATTTTTAATTATTTTTATTGTTTTAAAATTATGATATAGTTTTGAAATTAAAATCTTAAAAATAAGTATCGGTATTTATAATTAAATTAGATAAATTAATTTGCAATTACTGTAATTGCACATTGTAAGTATATTTAGGTGAAAATGAATATTAATGGTGATAACTGCTTGTATTGCCGTTATATAGAGTATCTTAAAATATATGTGAATAGTTAAATAATCTATGTAACTATGTGTACGAGATCAAGGATTTTTTGTTCACAATAAATATATTGTTATTGACACTCACTTTCTCACAGTTAGAGACATTGAAAGTACGATAAATATTTTGTGAATTAAAAATAATTCAATTATTATATATTAATTTTTAACTTTAAATGTAAGTAAAATATTTAAAATGTTATTTGAATTGCAATATTATTTTAATTTATATTTTAATAACAAAATATATAACTATTTAAGATTGATTTATAATTGTTACTAACATTTATATTGATAATTTTGTTTGTTTGTGTTTTTTTACAATTTTACATTTTACACAAATTCCAGGTTTAAAATTAAAATTATAATTAAAAATTAATGGCAAACATAAGAGTGGTTGAAGTGATTGAAAACACATTTCATTTAAACAAGAATTTCGTGGAAAATATATTTCATAAACTCGATTACAAAGAATGGGATAAAATAGCGATCGTATCAGTGATTGGACCGCATTTTGAGGGAAACACTTTCACTGCTAATCTCATATTAAATTACCTGAAAGGGCAACAAAATAACCATGGTCAGTGGCCGACTGAAATCAATCTTGACAATAATCATGGCTTTGTAAACATTGATGAGATTTATCCTGGAATTGAAATGTGGTCCGAACCCTATTATATGCAGCATGGTAATACGCGTCTGGCTGTACTATTGATTAATCTGCAAAACTACATTTATACATATTCTGACCTAATTGAAAATACTATACTAATTAATACGATAAGACTTATATCAAGCATATCATCAGTTGTGGTGATTAACAAACCGGGTCTCGACGTAAGCATTTTAAATTTTAATTATTTACCTTAATTATATTTATATATTGCTATCAAATATTATCCTAACAGACATATTCCGATGAATCAGCTGATAAATACACGATCCCGATTATTTCGTACATAGGACTATTGAACAAATTAAACCAATGGCAATGCAACGATTTTGAGACAAACAATGCCAATGTTTCGCTAATTGTAACTGGGTACAAAAATTACGAAGCACTCAGTTCAGATTTTAACAAAATGGGCACTTATTTAGTCGCCTGTCCCACAAATCAGACCGCAGATATTGATTGGAAAATAGGCGAACTTCCCGGCGATTATATCAAACAAATGACCAAATTTATTCAATCAGATGTCCTAGATGATAATTATTATTTGCCAGGCATTACATTTACAAACACCGACGAACTACTGGGATTGATCGAGAGCAAAATATCTATGCTAAATAACCGGGATGATAGTTGTGTAAAAATCAAGTCGAGTATATTCTTAAATCCTGATCATATCAGCCCAGATTTCAAAGGAAGTGATATTGAATGTAATGACCAAGAGCAATTCATTGTTGAGATACTTGATAATAAAAGCAATACTGATTGCGATCACCATGAAGAGAGCTCCAGTAATTGTATCAATGAGTTTGGTGAACAAACAAACAATCGTGATGAAATATCTTCAGACACTAGTACTGATAGTGAATTAGTGTCAGATCTAATAGACCAAGCTCAATCCAACAATGATATAGCTACCGATGCAAACGATGATAATGCAGAAGTTAATGATGGTAAACAGACAGAACTTATTGAGGCACTGGAAACAAGCGAGAATTTATTGCCCGATCCATTGGCAGCCAACCCAAAACTGGGTGATAGCAAGACCTACAGTCCCGTTGATACGACTCCTGAAACTCCCGGCGCTGTTGACACGACTAAGTTGACAATATTGATGAAGAAATTAATAAATAATTATAAAGTGGATGTTTGGCAACAAATAAACAGTGAAATGTCTGAAACATTAAATGTTTTGCAAAAGGCTCACAATTCAGCTCATGATAAATGTATGCATGAGTTTAATATTGAGTTAAGTAAGAAATTTCCCGCAGAAGTATCCGAAGAGTTTCGGCAATCACTGGACAGTGCGTTGAATGACGAAAAAATTGTATTTGAAAATGAGTGCAAAAATAAAACAATAATTGGCGATCAATTGGTGACAGAATTAATGGAAAGTTTCACCAAATCATTACAATATAGATTTAATGAAAATTTTGATTTTAATATAAAGTATGTAGATTTTGCGCCCATTTTTAGAGAAGTCTCAAATAAAATCAAGTTTGAATTTGAGCGAAGATCGAGGGAGCTGGATAATTTGAAATCACGGTATTTATTAAGACTAAACACATTTATTGCCGACCAGAAAGTGATTTACACTAATTTTGACTTAAAGTATAACGAGTTTATGAATAAATGTCAACAACACTGCGATTTAGACGAGTATTTCATAGACGAGACACAATTGAAACATTTTTTACTGACGGATGAAGAGATAAAAGAGTTGTTTAAAAATGATTACTATTTATACAAGAAATACAATCAATTGACCAAAAGTGCTATAAATAAATATAAGCAAAAATTATCAAAAATTAATTCGGAAAACAATGAAAATATGAGAAAATGTGTGGAAAGTTGTACAGAAATATACAACAAAAAAATGAAAGGTTTATTAAAAAGCGGTACATTTACTGACGAAACTTTCCGCGAAAAATATAACACTATTTGCGATAATATTTGGACGCGTTTTGGTAACGAACTCGCAATTAAACAATTTTCCAAACCTAATGTTTTAGATGTGTGCAAAAAGAGTTGGATTGATTATACCAACTCAACCTACCATGATCAGTTAGCTAAAAATCAACAAAATTATCAGTTCATTAAAAACAAAATGAATAGCATTGTACAGAAATGTCAGCATAAATACAACGATCAACTTTCAATCAAATACGATAAGTGCACTTCTATGAACGAGGGCCAATTTGAGCATGAGCATAAACAAATAATGGATCAATTATGGTTAGAACATGAACATTTAGTGATGGCGATTCTCAAAGAGTTTGATGCATATTTTGTACGCAAATTATGTGATGAAAATTGGGACAATATTTCGCTGGAAATTAATGGAACAAAATTTTGGGAAATAAATAAACTAAAGGAAAACAAATTCCATACACTTATTATGGACTTTGAGAACAACCCAATTGGCGTTTATTATTGTACTAAACAAGATTGTAACAATACAATTAATTTTTTAAACGACCTAAATGCACATCTGGTGGCAAATCGTATTGTGTTTGACGGCCAGAATATACTCTACGGGAGGGAAGCCGAGCAACACCTGAATGGACACACGTTTGACATCAAACACATTATGGGAAGGGATGTGACGGACGATGAGCTCAATCGCTATCCCTTTGATTTTGTGGACAAACGGCACCCAAAAGTACGGCTCGTATTCAACAATGAAACGAATATTGAGTTATATATCGAGTCGTTGTTTGCGTTACAAGTGTTGGACATAAAGAAAGGAACCGAACATTTGTGCAAAACTTACATAAAAAACCTACTATTTATTGTGCCCACAAATTATACGCTGAGGCAATTTAATGCGTTTAGAGACGCGGCCAGAATAGCTGGCATTGAACATGTTCAATTTATTACCGAAATGACCTCAGTGGCCGTTGAAATTGGGCTTGATAATAGAGTTAATGAAGGAACAATTGATATCTCGCGTGTACTCATCATTTTAATCACGAATAATAGCTATGAGTTAGCAATCGTTGAGTACAAAGACATTAGTGTTAAACACAATGCATACAAACAGGTGGACATCGATTGGCCTAAAAGTGACGACGATTTTAGTGACGTTAGCATTAAAATAACCGATTCTTTACAACAATTATTTAAGGATATCTTAACTAAACAAATGCCAAAACAACTGAAAGGCAATATGCTAATTTCCAGTGCATATGTTGTAGGTCAGTATCAATAGTTTACTTCAAATAAAGCATGTTATATGAAAATAAATTAGCAGCTAACAACTAACCAAATAAATAATAAATAAACAATTAAAATGTACCTTATTGGTAATTTTAAATATTTTATTTATTAGGAGATGAGTGCCTTACAACAAAAATTAACTTTAAAAGCATCATGAACAAATATTCTACTAAAATACAATTTCACGATCGGTCAGTTATACTGAAGGGTGCCGTGTATTACAGCAAATACTATGAAACAAATGGTCATAACATACCCATCACTGGAGTTATGTATAGGAATATCGTATGTCATATCAATTCTGGACATAACAGCAAAACTTTAGTTAACGCTAATCAAATGCCACAAGAAAATGACCATGTTCAATATAAGCTGAGTCGCTCCGACAGGTTTCCCATTACTGTCCGCATTACTGAAGGCCCCGATTTGGTAATCAAACAATTTACCTTAAAAGATTATCCAAACAATTTTAAAACTCGATCAATTCTATATCTGTATTTGTTTATCACATATGATAATAAAACAAATTCCGGTTTTAATATTGGAGCTAAAATTGGGCCAAAATATGAACAGAAAGTGGACCATGGTCAGTTGACAGAGCACATCTATAATTTGTCCAAAGACCAGATTAATGAGCAAGTTCAGTTATTGAATAGTTTTAAATCTACTGTCACTTTATTTGAAGATATGCCTTACTATGTGACATAGTTAAAAATAATTTGCTTTATCAAAATACGTCTTAAAATAATTTAACTTTACTAATTATACATTTTTAATCGTAAATTCATTTTAAAAAATAATCATCGGAATTGCGGTTAACGTGTAGCATCGATTTGTGATTATTGTTCAAAATTTATAAAGCTTTACATACGCAATTACATATTACATGACATTTGAAAAATTACATTTAAAATTATATTTTAAAAAATGGTTTAATATTTGATCATCTTGTTTCTTTTATTATAAAAAGATGGCATTGGATATGATTTATATATTACTAGAATATTCACAAATAAATAGAAATACTCTCTCTCTCTCTCTCTCTCTCTCTCTCTCTCTCT